GGAGGAAGTTGTTGTGAGACTGAGAAATTAGCAGAGTCGGAGAATTAAAAATTACTGTGAGAGAGGCGTGTTTTTTGAGATTAGGAAATGGCGGATTCGGATAACGAATCGGGAGGTCACAATAGCAACGCGAACAGCGAGCTATCGGCGAAGGAACAGGACAGATTCTTGCCGATAGCGAACGTGAGCAGGATCATGAAGAAGGCGCTACCAGCAAACGCGAAGATCTCGAAAGATGCGAAAGAAACTGTACAAGAGTGCGTATCGGAGTTCATAAGCTTCATAACGGGAGAGGCATCGGACAAGTGCCAGAGAGAGAAGAGGAAGACAATCAACGGCGACGATTTGCTGTGGGCCATGACGACGCTAGGATTCGAAGAGTATGTGGAACCGCTCAAGTCATATCTGCAGAAGTACAGGGAAATGGAAGGAGAAAAGAGCACTATGGGTGGAGGAAAAGGGGAAAAAGACGGTGGTGGTGGTGGTGGTGGGCCCGGCGGAAGTGGGGCAAATGTTGGTGGTGGTGGTGGTGGAGGAGTCAACCCTGGTACTGGTGGTGGTGTTAGCGGCGGTGGATTCAACGGAGTGGGTGGAATGTATGGTGGGATGATGATGATGGGGCATCATCAGGGTGGCGTTTATGGCAGTGGTGGATTTCACCAAATGGGAATCGGCGGTGGAAAGGGAGGAAATGGTGGTTCCGGCACCGGACACCGATAGTTCCGGCGGCGGCGGTGGTGGTGGTGGTGACGATGTGGACTCTGCTGCAAGGTCAAGCTAAGTGGTTGCTAGTTGGACGCTAATAAAAGGTTCTCCAACTTTTGAGCATCATTGATGACTTTTTAGGAAGTTAATAATAATATATTTTTTTTCTTCCTTCCTTTTAGGGTTTCTGCCAAATCTCTATTTTTCATTACTCTTCCTTTTTTTCCCCCTTATATATGAATGTAATTTGTGTATCTTGTGTGTAAGAGGATATGATAATGTGATGCATCTTTAGTTTTAGTAAGCAGGGTCGGCCACTACCAAAAAAGAGGATCGATTGTCGACTGAAACTGGTGCAACTGGTGCATGGTGCAAGATTTCATATTTGAGAGGTATGATGATCGAAACTGGTGTAGGATTTTATATTTTTAGGTATATTTTAGTTATATAGTTAGGGTAGTTGCATATTAAATAAAAAGGTGGAAAAATCATGAGTATGAAATGGAAAAAGGAAATGAAAAAATAAAATGTAAATATGAAAATGAAACATTATCCATATAGGGAGAGAGATGGGTGAGAGTGCATAAAAGGGCCATTTAAGGAGAGAGAAGGGAAAGTTTAGATTGGTCAATTCAATGCTTTTATTCTGTTTTGGAGTGACAGTAGAAAGGGCTCTACAATGGTTATTTTGGTTGGTTTGAGTTTTATTAAGGAAAGACAAAGGCAGAGACTGACAGGAAATTTCTTTTCAAATTGCCTCTTTTTATTCCTTTTTGCACCAAAAAATGGATAGTTTTGGTTGGTGGTTTATGACTTTATGTTTTATTTAGTGTACTTGTGATAATTAAGCTCAATCATTGCATCTCGAAATTTAACACACGATAACTTATATACTAACATAGATGATCGTGAGAGAAGTCAAAATGATGAACCATTTGAACGTTGTTGAAGCAAGACGCGCTGAAATGAAATTACAATCATGAATGTACATGGAATTGTAAGTTGCTAATGCAGAAGTTGAGCATGACATTTGGAGTCACGAGGAAATCATAAACCCTAGCTCAAGCTACCCACTTCCAATTATTACTCTAATATATTTTATATTTTATATTTCATATTGCTTAATATTCGTTTTAAATTTAACAAAAATAAAACACAGAAAATTAATTTCAAGATACTAACCAGCCTTTTATTTAAAATTGAAAAAAAAAAAAAAAAAAAAACTCGAAATACACACATAATCACACCCATCATAGGAATCGATCAAATCAGGACCGTCAACTACATTTACCATTCTCGCTCACACAGGAGTGAAAAAGTAGATATCCCCCAGCCGATCATTGCTCGGCGAATTTCCCCCATAAACCAGAAGGCCCAATTCCCCTCCCTTCCGGCCCACTGAAAACGCACTCCACCCTCTCGGCCCAGGATGATTCTCCAGGCCCAGCCCATCTTCTACTCTACTCCACTCCAACGCCTCCGTGTCCAACACATACACCTCTCCCGCGAACTTTCCGGCGCCCAAATGCCCCATGTCACTGGGGTCCACTTCCCCACCGTAGATATACACGTACTTCCCAATCGCGCACGTGGAGAACACGCTCCGAGCCGTGGGTCTTTCCCCTGTCGTCTCAACTTGGGCCCATTTGTTTTGGGCCGGATCGAAGTAGTGTACGTCGTCCATTTCCATACCCGCGAATCCGTACACGACCCATATTTTCCCTTGGGCCACAGCTAAGCCCGGCCCACCTCGGCCCTTTAACCCCTCCCCTGCCGACGGATACTCGATCCATTTTCCCTCTATCGTATCGTAAGCCCACAAGTCATTGAGGCGGCCGGAGTTGCCGCATCCGCCGAAGATGTAGACGCGGCGGTCATCAGCGGTGGTGGAGTGGTAGCTCCGGTGAGGCGGCCCGGACTCGCCGCCAGAGAGCAGCGTCCATTTGTTGATCGATGTGTCGAAAGAGTAGAGTTCGTTAAGTTCCTTATGCTCCAAATCCCTACCGCCGAAGACGTATACGATTTGGCCGACGGCAGCCATCGTGACGCCAACACGCGGGGGAGGAACGTCGCCGGAGACAGAAGCGACCGTCCAAGTGTGTTCGTCGAGATCGAAGACGTGGAGTTCGTTGTCGACGGGGATCCGCGGCGAAAACTCGCCGCCGAAGGCGTAGGCCTTTTTCCCTACGACTGTGATCGCGTGAGAGCTTCTTGCGCCTGGTCCTGCGCCGTTTTGATCGATCTGCAACAAATTGATCAAGATTTCGAAAAGTAAATGAAATTTGTGGCAATAGAAGTTGAAATTATGAAGATGAATTCATAAAATGGTGAATTGAAGATTGAATCAATGAGCTTAATTAGCTTAAGGGACTGACCTTCGTCCATTTTCCGTTCATCGGAGCCATTTGCGGAAAGTCCAGAGCTCAATCGGCAGATAGCAATGGCGTCGAGTGTGACTAGGGCAGTCTTTGGCGCGCGTATTTATACTAAATTTAAAATAAATTAATTAATAAAAAAAATGTGGTTAATTAACTCGTTAATGTGGCCCTAACCCTGATTAATACGACAAATAATATATTATCATTAGCGATAATCCTCACCAGATAGCAATGCCCTCTGATGCGACCTAAATTAATTGGATTAATTAGATAATGTCCCACTCAAAATTATTTTTAACTCAAATAAATTATGTATATTTTTTAATAAAATAATTAATTATAACATCAACTACTTTATTATTTAAATTCGATGATGATAACGATAGTTTAAAAAATTATTAAATACTAAATTAACAGTTTAAACTTTTAACACTCAAAATTTAAAATTCAATAAATTATTAAAAATTTACAAAAAAAAAAAAAATGTAAAATATAGAAAATATATAAATATATTTATCGTGGCCATTTCCATGCCGAGTGCTTTTAAATAATTTAATAAATATTAAATGAGACTAAATTCAAATAATTTAACCTAGTTTTTATAAAGTAATTATTCTGGGATTTCATTTATAAGTTTATAACGTTATTACCATCATAATAAGGTTAATAAACGTCAAATAATCTTAAAAATAAATTAGGGTTGGATTGGATTATTACTCTATTTTCGGGTTAGTGGTGTTAACCTAACTAAAAAAATGTCTATTCATAGACTGATCCGAATTTTCGACTTTTCACAAAATTAAACTTAACCCATATTAAAAAATAATATAACTCAGCCCAACATGGTTTGAATTCGGTAATCTAAATTGACTAAATTATCGAATCATACGAACACCCATAAACAATTTTTATCCATATTTTTAATTTTTTGAAAAAAGGTTAAAAAATATTAATTATTGTTTTTGAAATGATTTACTATAAATAGCTAAAAAGTGACATTAATGGAAATGTAACCGAAATTTGTCATTTTCCATTTTTTCATAAAATCAAATGACTCAGCTATTGCCTTTAGCTGGTATTTATCCTGATTTTTTTTTTTTGAAAAATGTTAAAAATAAAACCTAATTTTTTAATTCCCAACAAATTAATATTTATGGTAAAATATTTCATCAAAATTAAATATTAAATTTTATTATTTAATGTTTTAGACTTAGTACCTTATAACACATCGGTGTCTAATTATTTTTTTTATGTTCATAAATAAAAAAACTTATTAAATTTCAAGATAAAAATTAAATTATTAAAAAAAGAAATAAATCAGTACAAATTAGGGACCAAAAATTATTTTTAATTGTTTAAATTTAAACCAATACTTTTAACATGTTAAATTAAAAAAATATTTATGAATTAAAAAAAAAATCAAAATCAAAATCAAAATACTTAATCTATCTTAAAATTTGCTAAATAATATATTTTTTAAGGTATTAAATATATATTTGGTCGTAATAAAATAGATCATTAAACCAATTTAACCGAGTTAAAGAACGTTATGCCCTGTGCGACTAGTAGCTAAATTAATAAAAATATCTTCAAATTTTATATTTTGTTTAAAAAATACTTCTAAATTTTTTATTTTATAAATATAATTGATATTTTTTTAAAAAATTAATAATATTTTTTATTAGGATCGTAGAAATGAGTTAAATTACGCTTAGTGTTAATTATTATATAATTTAAGATAAAAAATTTGGTAGGATAGGCATAAAATATTATACGTACTTTTTAAAATCTAAACATAATTTCCTTTTATATTTCGAATTAAATAAATAAATAAATAAATAAATAAATAAATAAATAAATAAATAAATTTGTTGACGCGAAGGGCCCTCGTTTCCCACCACAAGCTAGCTCGAAATCACAGGTTCATAGGTGGCCACGTATTCCGTGTTCATCAAACAATGGCTCAAGCCGCTCAACGACGACAGTGCCACCACCAGTAGAAACGGACAAGATGGCCACCGCTGTCTGACTCTAATACGCACCAAGAATCTGAGAGGTTATTGTTCAAACTCTGGAGATACTATTTCATTTCTGTTTTGATCGTTAATCCATTTGATTTTTGGACCCTCTCTCCTGGTTTCAGGAGCTTGGACGCTGAGAATTCGGAAAAACAGGCGCACCCAGTAAGCGTTTCTGTCACATCTTTCTTGTTTTCTTATTGCATTTGTGACAGTCTTTCCACTTAAGATTGCTCAATTCGAGTTCAGATACTCTGCTGTTCATTTCAGTTGATTTTTTGGGTATTTTCATGCCACTTTGATTTGGATTGTTCATATTTTCTGGGGAATTTGCTGTGCGTGCTGCGTTCACTTGATGGAATCAGTGAAATTATTGAAAAGATTGATCAAACTAAACAGTTCGAGGCATTCTTGACTTTTTTTCGCCTCTTTTTGATCGATTCACGTTGAATAGAATTAGCAAACTAAGATTCACGCGCTATTTATTTGATGGAGTTTCAGTTTCTTTGATTCCTGACCATTATTTTGCTCGAATGCTTTGAGCAGCCATGAACTCTGTAATCTCAAGGAACATATTAGCTCGTTCTTATGCGTTTTGTGTTGATGTTTAGCCATTTCACAAGCTAGAGATGGCTATTTACCATTATATTCGTTTAATCTTTTCAGGTCACAACTCTTTGATGGCGGCAACACTGGCTTCCCACAGCTGTTATTTCTGTGAAGCAAAGTTAAATGAGGGAAAAGGGAGACAAGCTTATGATCTGTGTTTTTCAAGATCAATTTCACTTAATACATTCAACAAGATCGAGAAGTCGACTTGGAATCCTCCACGTTCTCGACATTTTAGGATTGGTAATGAATTGCAGCATAATACATCGCCTCCAAGGTTAAGCACCAATGGAAGAGCTGTTAAGATGGCACCTATAAATGAAGTAGTGAAAACAAAGGCTGTATCTGCCAATAAAGTGGAGAAAATAAATGGCAAAAGACAGGCTATCAATGGGGCAAGTATAATTAAGCGCAGCCCGTCTCCTCCGTTGATTAAGAGAACGAATGTTATAGACTCCCAAAAGCTTCCACCACTTGAGGACCTTAAAATTTTGCCCTCAGATGAAGGTTTCAGTTGGGCTAATGAAAATTATAACTCTGTGCAAAGGAGTATCGATGTTTGGAGTTTCATCGTTTCCTTACGGGTTCGTGTTTTCTTGGAAAATGCAAAATGGACGTATGCAGAAGGCTTCTCAGAAGACAAGCAGGTTGAATACTTTCATGTGGCTGTTAGTTATCTCTTAAATTACCTCGTTTCATGTTCGTTTTATGATTTTCTAGACTGGAATATAGTATGCTCCTTTAATTCTACCATCACTCTCCCCATCCAGAAAAAAAGAAGGCAAAAGACCGCGTCTTGGCTGCGGGAGCGTGTGCTGCAGCTTGGTCCTACTTTTATCAAGCTTGGACAGCTCTCCTCAACAAGGTCGGATCTATTTCCTCGTGAGTATGTGGACGAGCTAGCTAAGTTACAGGTATCAGTACTATTTTAATAGAATTTCTAAATGGCTATAGCCTTCGTGTCACAAGGATATTCAGATATCGAAATTACAGAATGGTGTGATATCACTGCTGAATAACAATCAGAAGATTTGTGTTTCTGATATTGTGTAACCAGGATAAAGTCCCTGCATTCTCTCCAGAAAAAGCTAGAGGATTCATTGAGAGTGAGCTGGGTGCCCCGATCGATACTTTGTTCAAAGAATTCGAGGACCGTCCTATTGCTGCAGCCAGCCTTGGCCAGGTGCATTAAAAAAGTGATAGTTACCTGCATTTAGTTCAAGTCTAGTTTCTTCAGCATTAATTCGAGTAATATTGTCTTTAGGTCCATCGTGCAATACTGCATAATGGAGAGAGGGTGGTCATCAAAGTTCAAAGACCTGGTCTCAAGAAGCTTTTTGACATTGACCTGAGTAAGAATTCAACTTTTATCGAGTTTTCTGGAGATAATAAAACGCCAGTTCTTTTCAGCTGATTGGTCGGACACGATTATGTAATTTGAACGTTGAGTTTGAGACATGTGTCATTGAGGTTACATTTTGAGTTTTACTATTGTTTGTATGTCATCAACAGAGAATTTGAAGCTAATTGCAGAATATTTTCAAAGAAGTGAAACCTTTGGTGGCTCTACAAGAGATTGGATCGGTATATACGAAGAATGTGCTACGTAAGTAGTAAGCATATCTTTAGCGGCTATCTTTCATTGTAATAAAATGAAATGGTGTTATTGTGGGTTGGAGACAACATCTATATAAATGCACTAAAACCATGATATTGGAATCACGACCCTCCATAATAGTATGATATTGTCGACTTTGAGCATAAGCTTTCATGGTTTTGTTTTTAGTTTTTCCAAAAGGCCTTGTACTAATGGAGATATATTCCTTACTTATAAACCCATGATCATTTCCTAAATTAGTCAATGTGGGACTCCCTCCCAACAATCCTAGATTCTTCATGCTAGCTTATTAGGAGCACTAAAATTTTCTGATTGAGGTTTTTTCAGTCATCTAAGATGATATTTCATGTGCTGTATAGTGTATTATTCATTTTAGCTGGACTTCATGACTTTATTTACGTTTCCTTAATTTGCACCTTTCTAAGGGAGATGTCCCCATGTTGGTTCATCATGAGTTTTTTGTGTGCATAAACTATAGCTCATTTTTCTTCATTAAACGATGCTAATTATGATGTTTTTTAATTTTTGACTCACTTTTTGATTCATGGTTGCAGTATTTTGTATCAAGAAATTGACTACATAAATGAAGGCAAAAATGCTGATAGATTCCGCAGGGATTTTCGTAATATAAAGTGGGTTCGAGTACCCGTACGTTTCTTCATACAGAAGTCATTCATCGATACTTTATCTTACGTACAGAACTAAAATTTGCTGTACAAGTCTTAACTAAATAAACTTCCTCTTTCTTCTTGTAGCTTGTCTTTTGGGACTACACTGCTTTGAAGGTATTGACTTTGGAGTATGTACCAGGTTTGACCCCGAGCAATGCGTTTCTGAAATAACACAACACAATCATATTTTGGCGTGTTTCAGTGTTACTTAAGAATAACATTGCTATCCTATTTGTAGGGGTTAAGATAAATCAGCTGAATGTTCTAGACTCACGTGGCTTTAGTCGCTCTCAAATTTCATCACATGCCATTGAAGCATACTTAATTCAGGTCTGGTCTGTCAGTCTGATATAAACTGATCCATATTATTAGCTATTTCTGGCAGTGAATATGATGAAAGCCAATCTATTATGATTTAGTCAAAGCATACTTAATCTTTCAGATACTGAAGACTGGTTTCTTTCATGCGGATCCTCATCCGGGAAATCTTGCTATTGATGTTGATGAAGCAATCATATATTATGATTTTGGCATGATGGGGGAAATCAAATCCTTCACTAGAGAGAGGCTTCTCGACCTTTTTTATGCCGTTTATGAGAAAGATGCAAAAAAGGTTTACTTTTACTGCACATTCTTTTCATTTCGTAAGTATCAAATGACTTCAATGTAAGACTGTTACGTTACTCTGTCCGTGATAGGTCGTATGGAGAAATGATCTGGCTTTTATGGTTTCCTATCAATATTACCAGAAATTCTTGCTCCTAGGATCCTGATTCATGGAACCCTTATTTCAAACAAATCAAATATGATAATCGAACCAATTGCTTTCCCACTCCTTACGCTGTTACAGGCCAAGCTCACCGTTAGTAGATATTGTCATTTTTGGGCTTTCACTTTTGGGCTCCCCAAGGTTTTTGAGTTTTCTGTTATGGGCTTCCCCATTATGCATCTACTTGGGAGAGGTTTTCCACACCTTATAAGGAATGTTCAGTTCCCCTCTCCAACTGATGTGGGATCTCACAATCCACCCCTGAGGCCTAGCGTCCTTACTGGCACACCACCCAGTGTCTGGCTCTGATACCATTTATAACAGCCTAAACTCACCGTTAGTAAATGTTGTCCTCTTTGGGTTTTCCCTTATGACCTTCCCCATTACGCGTCTACTAGGGAGAGGTTTTTCACACCCTTATAAGGAATGTTTCCCCTTTCCATCTCGAAAAAGAGTAGATATACAGATTTTGAGGCTCATGATGGTTTTTTTGAATTTGCTATAGATTATAGTAAAACGAATGCAAAACATATTTATATCATGTGATTCATGGGGGTGGTGCAAAACTGTTGATGCATCTGTTGTTTTGGTAATTACTTTTACGGACAATGGATGCAACCGTGCAGGTTATGCAAAGGCTCATAGATCTTGAAGCACTTCAGCCAACAGGAGATCTGTCTGCGGTATATAGTGTGCAAATTGAATATAAATCTACAAACTATTTATGTTTTTGGCCTTATCATTTATCGAATTTTTTTTATTTAGGTGAGGAGATCCATTCAGTTTTTCTTGGACACACTCTTGAGCCAAACACCAGACCAGCAGCAGACTCTGGCTGCAATTGGAGAGGTGTGCACATATTCAATTCAGCAAATGTTGAAGGCTCGGTTTTGTCAAATTTGATATCAATATCATCTTTTATAAACTCAAGCGTGGTTGTCTGGCAGGATTTATTTGCAATAGCTCAGGATCAACCTTTTCGATTCCCCTCCACCTTTACCTTTGTATTGAGGGCATTTTCTACCCTGGAAGGTTGATCTCACTCTCTTGTGCTTTTGTAATTGAGCCATCATTTTCTTTGTTTTAAAGTATAGAAGCTGACCAACTTCAACTAGATTACGTTTCTGCTCTTGACTACGGAATCGAATGTCGTTTCAGGTATAGGCTACACACTCGACCCAGATTTTTCCTTTGTGAAGATTGCTGCACCATATGCACAGGTTTGTTATGTTCTTTTTGGGAGAGGAGTCTCACGTTGACTAATTAAGGGGTTGATCATGGGTTTATAAGTAAGGAATACGTTACCATTGGTATGAAGCCTTTTGTGGAAACCAAAAGCAAAGCCGTGAGAGCTTATGCTCAAAGGGGACAATATCATACTATTGTGGAGGGTCCATGGTTTCTAACATGGTATCAGAGTCATGCCATTAATCTAGTCATGTCAATAGAATCTTCAAATGTCGAACAAAGAAGCTGTGAGCCCTGAAGGTATAGTCAAAAGTGACTCAAATGTCGAACAAAGAGTGTACTTTGTTCGAGGGGAGGACTGTTGAAGATCGTTGGGAGAGGAGTCTCACATCGGCTAATTAAGGGGTTGATCATGTGTTTATAAGTAAGGAATATATCTCCATTGGTATGAGACCTTTTCGAGCAACCAAAAGCAAAGTCATAAGAGCTTATGCCGGACAATATCATATCATTATGGAGAGTCCGTGTTTCTCACTGTAATGATCTATTCATAGTTCTTTTGGATATCCATAAAGGTTTTTTAAGTGGTTTCTATGAAAACTATGTGCAGGAGCTTTTAGACTTAAAACAGAAGGAGCAAAGCAGAACACAACTTGTGGAGGAGATAAGGAAGCAAGCCAATGAAGTACAATAGTTTCTTTTGAGTTTTTCTTCCATTCTCTCATCATATAGCGAAAGTTCTCACAAAATATAGCAATTCATTTTCAGGCCAGAACATCCACTATTTCCATGCCGTCCAGAGTCCAAAGAATAGAGGAATTCGTACAACAGCTCGAGTCGGGGGACTTAAAGCTTCGAGTCCGAGTGCTGGAGGTACATATTCAATTACTTCTTAAACTCTTACATGATCTAATTACTATGACTTCAGCAAAGATCAAAACTTCACTATATTCTGATGGAAATCATAGTCCGAAAGAGCAGCAAGGAAAGCAACAATACTTCAAATGGCAACGATGTACAGCGTGATGGGCGGTACGCTTTTGAACCTCGGAATCACCGTAAGCTCTCAAGGCAACCAAGCCATTGCCGGTGGATCATTCGTCGGGGCAGGTGAGCTCGAGCTCTTTTTCTTATTGTGCAAGTTTGAATTAGAAATTCAAATTTTAGTGTCAATTGTTTGGCGAAATACAGGAGTGTTCTTGGCGCTTGTTCTTCGGAGTATGCAACGGGTTAAAAAGCTTGACAAATTTGAGGAAATGATCTGATTTTTGACTCTCCAAACATCAACTTTCTTATATATATAATATATATATACACATATATTCATATAGATATACAATCCCTTCAACATGGGCAAGTCCCAGGCAGTTTAACTGCATACAGGAAGGAAACAAGAACTGGTTATAGGTTTGGAGGAGAAGCTGCTGATATAAACTTGGTTTAGAATTTAGAACACTGTCTTCCATTTTAAATGTATCATATTGTTTATTTTATTTGATCCAACGCAGTTTCATTCTCCATTTTTCTGTTTCTTTCGTGGGAATTACTCGTTCGATTCATGGACTGAGGTCTCCGGTGTTTAATAAGTCATTGATTTTTTTATAATTCACATGTTTATTTTAAGAACGATGAAATTTGAAAAGAAAAAAAAATGAAAAAATAAGTATTAGGATGTGCACAGGTTGAATTGGATTAGAGAAATCTTTGAACCAACTTAAAACTTTTGGATTAGTTGGATTGGTGGAACGAGCAACACTGATAGAGTTCACAACTGATCTCTCTATTGTATTTGGTTTATTTATTTTTATTCCAAACAGATCTCAAACTTTAAAAAATTGTCTCGTATTAAATTTGACTATATGAATTAAAACTTTAGATATTATAAATATTACAGTAGTCGTTGTATGATATCTCTATTATATCTACTGTGGCTGTTCGTTTAATAGTGTGTACGTTACCAATTTTTGTCATTTTATAAAATAATGATAGTTACACGAACAAATCAAACACAATTATCCAAAAAAAGATAATTGAATCAAATATTTAAAATCAAATATTGAATTGAAAATTAGAAATGTGATTAAGGGAAGAATAGAAAATAAATATTCGATTGGAGGGAAAAGGTTGAACTAATTAATTAATTGTTTATAAAAAAAAATAAGAAAAGTTCGTCTGTTTCAACGTCTGGGAGTTGGCGCTTGGGCATTACACAGCTGGAAGTAGCACACCATTAAACGGCCTTCGAAGTTGCTTACACGCCGGGTCCCACTCTCCACTTCTATATCATCCCATTAGCCAATTCCTTGTTGGTCCCAGTCTTAGCCCTTCTTCTTCCCCTCTCTCTCTCTCTCTCCTCTTCTCTCTCCTCTCCTCTGAATCAATCATAGACCCCTTTCTCAAGGCGGCTTTATCCTTCAACATCTTCTTCTTCTCAGAGCTCAGTCATGGCGGTAAGAAATCCACGCACACCCTTCATTTATTTCATCGTTTATTTCTTTCAACTTGACTCAGATTTTGATTATAGGACTTGATCGTTTCTGGGTTTGAGTTTTTTTGGCTTGATTTGATTGTTACCGTGCTTTCCATGTCTTTTTTCCTTTGGATCTTCTTGTTCCTGTCAAAGGGGTGTTCTAAAACTGGAGGGTTTTATGGCCTCTGCCTTTTGCTTTCTCTCTGATTGTTTTGTTTCTGTATTTGGAACTGTGTTTGTTGCCTGTTCTTGCCCTTGTGCTCACTTTCATTGTGGTTGAACGAGTGTTTACTTGCGATTAGCCCTTTCTGCATGGTTTTGTTAGTAATTTTGCTGAGGGATTGGTGGGGTTTCTTCACTTGGGAATGTGGGGTTTTCACTCAATCAGTTCTTTTAAACGTTTGTAAGTATGCTAAAGGAACAATTGAAGCTTTTTTCATCTTAGGCATGTTTGAACTTTGAGAGGTTCATTCAAACAAACAAAAGAGCCCAATTCATATCTTGTGATGCTGTGTTAAGCTGAGCTTTTGACGAACTTGGTGAATATCTCATGTATGATTCTTGGAGTGCGCTGTATTTAGGTTGGGGATGGATGTTGTTTCTAATGTGAGCTTTCTATGAAGGTTGAATCTGAGTTCTTTAGACGATGTGAACTCCCTTCATGAATTCTTTCATGTTCTTCTGTTTTTACCAGTCTCTGCATGAGTTTTAAGAGATGTTTCTAAGATTTTATTCTATAATCATTAATTAGTTTGTTAGGAACCACGAACCTCCACCATGGTATGATATTGTCCACTTTGAGCATGAGCTCTTATGACTTTACTTTTGTTTTTCTTAAAAGACCCGGTACCAATGGAGATAGAGTTCCTTACTTATAAACCCACGATCTTTCTCTTAATTAGCCAACGTGGAGTTACTCCTCTCAATAATCCTCAACAATCTTCCCCTCGAACAAAATACACTATAGAGCCTCCCCTTAAGGCCTCATTCTCTAGAGCTCTCGAACAGCTTCCCCTTAATCGAGGCTTGACTCCTTCTCTAAAGCCCTCAAACAGAGTACACTGTTGTCAACACTTGAATCACCTTTGATTACACCTTCCAGGCTCACAACTTCTTTGTTTGACACTTGAGGATTCTATTGGCATGGTTAAGTTAAGGGCATGACTCTGATACCATGTTAGGAACCATGAACCTCCACAATAGTATGATATTGTCCACTTTGAACATAAGCTCTCATGGCTTTGCTTTTGGTTTCCATGTAAGGCCTCATACCAATAAAGATAGTGTTCCTTACTTATAAACCGTTGATCTTCCTCTTCATTAACCAATGTGAGGCTACTCCTCTCAATAATCCTCAACATAGTTTGAGCATGTCTCACCATCGGGTTGGCTCTTCATAACACGAGGTTGGTTAGCTGTGAGGATTTATTGGATTATGACTTAGCTCATAAATGGATAAGGATATAGAGATTTGACCCAAGAAGAAAGGAGAAGTGACTGAGTTAATTAGCTATAGCTAAGTATATACATATACACTAATATGCAAATATTGCCTTGAAATGTCTGCCACTCATAAGCTTATTGATTATGCAGGAAAAAGGCAGTAGCAGTCCCTTACCAAAGTTCGGCGAATGGGATGTCAACGATCCCGCATCCGCCGAGGGATTCACAGTCATCTTCAATAAAGCCAGGAACGAGAAAAAGACTGGTGGCTTGCCTGACTCTCCTGCAAAGGATGACCCTTCATATAAGCATGGCGCAGTTCTTGGAAAGTCTCAGCCTGTAAGTTCTCTGCACCCAAATCTTTTCAATTTCTTTGATTGTTTTAGAAGCTACCGGAGGGGAAGCCCGGAAGGGAAAATCTAAAGAGGACAGCTGCTAGCGGTTGACTTAGACCGTTACAAGATTACGAATAGAGCAACCGTTGTAAATATAGCCATGTTTAAACCAATTCCATCTGTTTTTGAAGTAAGAACACTGTCATTTTCTCATGATTGCGAGTTGGGATTTGCAGAAAAAATGGTTTTGCTGCTTGCAAGCTGCAGAATCATAAGCCTTACGGGCGCTTGATAGCGGGGTTCAGCAGAAATGTATAATCTTCTGCAAATTCTCAAAGACGTGACCTTGTCTGCATGACTGAAAGCTGTATTTAGAGCCTGTGATGGAAAATGCTGGACTCCATTTGTTAGAACTTGTCAATAATTTGGGGTTTGGGAATGAGGATATGCTTAAAACATCATTGTCTTGTTTATGTTGTTCTTCTGCTGCATAAATGACAATTGTCGGAGATTGTTGCTTATCATCATCATCCCTCCCCCTGTTCTCTAGTTGTGAAATGATGTTGTTTGTGAACAGTTTCTTTCCTGAATGATTTCAAATGTTTCTGTTCTTGTGTAATCTAAAGGTTCATGTTTTCTTGAAAAACTCTTCATCCACAAACTAACAAACCAGGGGAGCCAAAGAATTGACACATGTAAATACAGATACTCGCACTCAGGCTGCAATGAATCAGTGTTGTTCGACACCTGTAATTCCATAATCAAGTCGGCCATGAATCGGTTACGGGAACACAGAGATATATTACTTACTTATAAACCCACTAAAGTCTATAGAGTCCTCCAACCGTCTCCTTAATTAAGTCGTGACACCTTTAGAATTTACGATTCTTTACCATAGTATGATATTATTGACTCTAAACATAAGTTCGAGTGGTTTTTTACTTTAAATTTTTTAAAAGGCCTCGTATTAATGTAGATAATATATGTATTCCTTACTGGATGGGTATTCCTAAAGTAGTAAGGTTCCCACAACCCAAATTACTTCCTCAAATCATACCCTTATTTCGGCCTGCCCCACTTTCAACATTCGTCGAGATTCAAGCTCCAGCAAAATGGGTTTGCTTCAAAAATGGCGGAGAGCATCGGGAAATCAAACGGCAGGAGACCCAATTGGGGAAAAAGCGAGCCCGGTTGAAAACGAGCGCGGCGGTAGCGGCGGCGGCGGATATGGTGGAGAGGGAAGAGACTGGACGACCTCGATTCTACTGTTTTCTTTCTGGGCTGGTCTAATGTTTTATGTCTTCAATCTCGCTCCGAATCGGACTCCGGTAAAAACATGATTGTCTTCTTCTTCTTCTTCTTCTTCTTCTTCTTCTCTGTTTTTCTTCCTTTAGTTCATCGAATGCGATTCTATGTGTTTTGCTTGAAAATTTGCAGTCAATGGACATATATCTCTTGAAGAAGCTTTTGAACTTGAAAAGTGACGATGGCTTCAAAATGAATGAAGTGCTTGTGTCTCTTTGGTATATTATGGGCTTGTGGCCACTGGTTTATGGCATGCTGCTGCTTCCTTCTGGCAGAAGGTAGATAGAATTTGGATTTCTTGCCTTTTCAGCTCAATTCAAATTGTTTAGTGACATGATTCTTGTATCTGCAGCTCAAATAGCAATGTTCCTGTCTGGCCTTTCCTAGTACTGTCGTTCTTCTTGGGTGCCTATGCTCTTCTTCCATATTTTGTACTTCGGAAGCCACCGCCACCTCCTGTTGAAGAAGATGAACTCAAGAGATGGCCTTTGAATTTCCTCGAGTCCAAATTCACTTCTGGGGTATGGAAAATTCTTCCCCTTACCCTCCCTTTATCTGGTTACTGTAGTATACTTGGCCGAGCGCTAGCTGATATTGTCCTCTTTGTACTTTCCCTTGAGGTTTTTAAAACGTGTCTGTTAGTGAGAGGTTTCCATCCCCTTATAAAGAATGTTTCAGAGCCAGCGTTCGTTCCTCTCTCTAATTAATGTAGGATCTACAATCTACCCCTTTTGGCCCAGCATCCTTGCTGGCACTCGTTCCTCTCTCCACACGATCTGGAATCTCACAATCCACCTCTTTCGAGACTCAGTATCCTCGTTGACACTCGTTCCTCTCTACAATCAATGTGGGGATCTCACAATCTACCCCTTTCGGAGCCCAACGTCCTTGTTGGCACTTGCTCCTCTCTACAACCGATGTGAGATCTTACAATTCTTCCCCTTTGGGGTTCAGCGTCTTTGTTGGCACTCGTTCCTCTCTATCATCGATGTGGGATCTCATAATCCACTCCCTTTGGGTCCCAACGTCCTCGCTGGCACACTGCCCAGTGTCCACCCCCCTTCAGTCTCGCTGGTCCACTGTCCAGTGTCTAGCTTTGATACCCTTTGAGGGGAAGTCCAGAAGGGAAAGTTCAAAGAGTACAATATCTGTTAGTGGTGGGCTTCGGCTGTTAGAGTAGATACAAAGAATCATACAACACAGTGCATCGTAGAACGTCGTTGTCCTATAATCCGAGAGGTTTAAAACTTTAGACATATTTACAGCAAGAACTAGTGTGAAGGTTGCATAATGGCTCAGAAGTACCACTAGATCACTGCTTCAGCTGTTTCTATCTTTCTTGGCCCTACAATTTGATTCAAAATGAAAGCTAACCATGTTGGAGTCAGATAACATTTGCTGCAGGACTCGGTATACTATTTTATGCTGGATTAGCTGGTGAGAGTGCGTGGAAGGAATTCTACCAGTACTTCAGAGAGAGCAGATTTGTAAGTCTAGCACGACTTCCACGTACTATCGTAGTTATTTTGCGCCCGTGTCTTCATGTCTATGGTGGTTCATTGTTATCTGATGCAACGTATCGAATATGTCGTTAAAATTCTTCATTTGTAGACTAGTTGAAGAACGTTTTCTTGCTGAATCATACTGTATTCTTACCCTGGTCTCGAAACGTTATTGATGCAGATAGTTTTAGCGTTTCATTGAAATGTTGTAGTCTTACCCCTGTCTCGAAGCGTTATTGATGCAAATAGTTTCAGTGTTTCATTGAAATGTTAGTCTTACCCTGATCTCGAAATGTTATTGATGCAGATCCATGCCATGAACATCGACTTCATGCTACTATCTTTCTTTGCTCCATTTTGGGTTTACAATGACATGACTGCTCGAAAATGGTTCGGACTACATTCTCATGTGAATCCTTACTCAATTCCATTTAGCTTTGTTGATAACATTGCAATGAACTCATTCCAGGTACGACAAAGGATCTTGGCTCGTTCCCTTTTCGGTCGTGCCATTTTTAGGTCCTGCCTTGTATCTCATCCTGCGACCGTTGCCTACTACGACGACGACTACCGTTCCACTCAACGCAGCTGCATCTGAACCAAAGTAGTCATGTTTCTAAAGTGAACCAGAACAAGGAAGCTTAGCTGCAATGGTGGAAAAAAGCAGACTTTTAAGGTACAGGAGAAGTTTTGTATCTCAAACATAGTAGATTAGGATAAAGTGACAGTCAAATGATGTGTGTCGTGTTCTTATGTTATTGTGTTTCTTTAATAAAAAATGGGTAATGTCATATTGAGCTTGTTCTTATGGAAGAACCAAATGTATTGAAGAATTATCCTATAGGGGATTAGCCATTTTGAAAGGAGGTGCAATCCCTGGACTGTTAAGCTCTACGGCGAAGTTACGCATCATTTTCAGTCTCAGTTTAAAACTATATGTTAAGGAGAGGTTTTTACACCATTATAAAGAATGTTCGGTTCTCCTTTACAACCAGTGTGGGATAGCCTAGCATCCTCGCTGCTAGCACACCATTTTGGCTTTGATACCATTTGTAACAACCCCATCTCCCTTTATCCGATTCTTCATCATTTATTACAGTGGTAGCCTACCGCTAATCGATATTGTTAGTCCCACATCCAATGTCAGACTCTTCTGATACCATTTGTAACAGTTCAAATTTATTGGTAATAGATATTGTCAGCTCCAGTGTTAGTGTCTGGCTCTTCTTATACCATTTGTAACGATTCAAATCTCATTGTAACAGATATTGTCAGTCCCACTGACTGGTGTCGACTCTTTTGATACCATCAGTGTCTAATTCTTCCAATACCATTTGTAAAACTTGTAAGTTAAGTATGAGTCTTCACTCAACCAGTTGATATAAATGGAAGGCGTAAAAAGTGTTTCATTTAATTACGATATTGCCACTGTCGGTGGCCGAAACTACCGAATAAACCGCTCCAGCTCAGATGAAATCAACAAGTAAAATCGACGATGTTTCGTCCACGCCATTCATATAGACACGTGGAAGCATCGTGTGAGTCATGTGCGGTTCACCCTGTGGTTACCGTAACATTTATCAAAATTCCCCTTTTTCAGTTTAATTATTATTTATTTATTATATATTCCATTTCTCTCGCCGACTACTCGGTCGTCACTTTGACTATTTTGGGGCTCAGCGAAATCTAGCATTTCCTCTGTTCACTCTCAGCTCGCATCTCACGCTCACTTCAAGCCCATGGTGTTCAATTGCTCGAGTCATCTTCTTCCTTGAGTCAGGTACGAGTTAAAGAACTTTCTAATTCGCTTCTTCCAGATCAATGTACTTGTGGAATTGAAGCTTTGTTTTCTTTGATTTGTGCGGATTTGGTTGTGGGTTTTGTTGGATTATTGAACTCGGGGAGCCTCATTTTGTATTTTCCTTTTGTTCTTGCTCATTTTTGTTGAGATCTATGAGATTGCCCTTACTTTTGTTGTCGATTGTTCTGTAAATGACTTTTTGGCGTTCTAGGTTTCAGGGTTTTTTCCGAGTTGTTTGATTGTTGTAGATTTGGGGAAGTTGATGCTTGGAAAGATGTTGGGTCGGTCTTCTCTTTACAGAAGTGGAAGTTTTAGACCAGAGAATCTGGGTCAGAATGCGCTTGCTCTTATTGGAAATCTTTGTTTCACTCTGTTTGTGGTTGGGGTTTTGATTTTTACTATAATCGCTGCCACTTACGAGCCTGAGGACCCACTTTTTCACCCATCGACCAAGATCACTACCTTTCTCACGTCTAACTCCAATGCCACTTTTAAAACTGATAGCACTGTGATGAAGACTGGGGAGGATTTCATGGCTGCCAATCAAACTGCATTTGCAACATTTCTTAATGAAACTGATATTGTCAAAATCATTGATGCTGAAAACTCTGCTTTGGGTTCTGCTACTGAAGGAGCTTCACCTGAGTGCAATAGCAATGTGGATGACCCCATCGATTGTCGCGACCCCGAGGTTTTCCATATGATGATGGAGACCACCATAGAACAATTCAAGGACATTCACTTTTACCGGTTTGGGAAACCGGTTCGTGGTTCTAACGACAGCACCTGTGATATGGCATGGCGATTTCGACCCAAGGAAGGGAAGATTGCTTCTTTTTATAAAGATTATAGGAGGTTTGTGATTACTAGATCTGCTAATTGTACTCTTAGTATCGTTAGCATAGGTGACTACCACAGTGGTGTTAATGCAAGGAAGAAGAAAAAGAATCCGAAAAATAATTTTGAGAAGAAAATGGAGCAGCTAGAGCATGCAGTGTCTTTGCCTGTTGTTGGGGAAGTTGTGAATGATTCACTCCCCGTGGTCGAGTCTGAAGGCTCATTTAGTCAGGGGAAGTACTTGGTTTATGAGATGAGCGGAGATAAATGCAAGAGCATGAACCATTACTTGTGGAGTTTCTTATGTGCTTTAGGTGAAGCTCAGTATTTGAACCGCACATTAGTTATGGATTTGAAAATTTGTCTGTCCTCGATCTATACTTCATCGAAGCAAGATGAGGAAGGAAAGGATTTCAGGTTTTATTTTGATTTTGAGCATCTGAAAGAGTCCGCATCCATCTTGGACCAGGGTCAGTTTTGGTCTGATTGGGAGAAATGGCAAAAGAAAGATCGTTTAGGCCTTTATCTTGTTGAGGACTTTCGCGTCACACCTATGAAACTTGCCGACGTAAAGGATGCCTTGATATTCAGAAAGTTCGGATCTGCAGAACCAGATAATTATTGGTATCGTGTCTGTGAAGGAGAAACAGAATCCGTAGTTAAGCGACCGTGGCATTTGATTTGGAAATCAAGACGTCTGATGGATATAGTATCTTCAATTGCATCAAGATTGAACTGGGATTATGACTCAGTCCACGTAGTGAGAGGCGAGAAAGCAAAGAACAAGGAGCTCTGGCCAAATCTTGACGTTGATACTTCACCTGATACGCTTCTTTCGACATTGCAAGAGAAGCTTGAAACTGGAAGGAACCTTTACATTGCTACCAATGAGCCAAACACGGATTACTTCGACCCCTTGAAAGACAAATTCTCTACCCATTTCCTCGACGAGTACAAGGATCTTTGGGGCAAAGACAGCGAATGGTACACAGAAACAATGAATCTTAACAATGGGACACCAGTTGAATTTGATGGATATATGAGAGTATCAGTAGACACAGAGGTGTTCTTAAGAGGCAAAAAGCAGCTAGAAACATTCAACGACCTCACAAACGATTGCAAGGATGGAATCAACACCTGCAGTGTTGCATCTAATTAGTCCGAAATCTGTTAGTTGTTTCTGTTGCTTTGAGAATCAATTGATAGATTAAGAAATGTTTTAGCTTAATAATGAGTTTTGTTCTTGCAATAGTAACTATCCTTCACTTGGATCTTCCTAATTTTCAAGTTGTTGAGCTTCTGTATTTGCTGAGTACCATGTATTATATGTCTTTCAGAATTCTGATGATATTTAAGATTGCTTATAAAATTTAATGTTTCTTATAAATGTTCGATTCTCGTTCGTCAAAAAGTAAAAACGTGCGCAGGAAGCAGAGATTATTCAGGTTTTCAGCGACGTAAAAGGCAGTCTCAAGACTGTATAGACACAACAAAGAAGACAAACAGAAAGCTTCATATTTACAATGAAATAACAGAGGGTCACACACTCATCACGCTTCAAGGTACAAATTCTATGGCCTGCGGATGCACTTTTAAGATTATCTATACACTATGCTGCTGTACATGGAATGATATTCCTTAACCATAATGTGTTCATAATGTTCATAATGCTCACCAGAAGCAGGAGGCTGTCTCTTCTTCGGGCATTAATGGAGTTCGACACAGTGGGCAAGTAATGTTCCAGTAGTCCAGCCACTTCTCCAAGCACACTCTGTGGAAAACATGGCCACAAGATAAATGGTTAATCTCTGATTCAGGTTCAAATTGGGTAAGGCAGACCGAGCAGTCGTGTTCTAGCCATTTGCAGCTACGAACTTTGTCGAACAGAATCGCTGGGATCCGACTACGAAACTCTTCAATGTAGCCTCCATTTGGATTAAGACAGAAGTCTATGGATTCAGGAGAATTCTCCATGGAATCTGATGATGATGGTGTCGAAAGATGGATGCCAACGACATGGAGGATCGACCGAACTATGCCTTTGAAGATGGAAATCGATATTGCCGTATTCACAAGGATCACTCCTAGTACTCCTTCAGAAGGGGCAGGAAGGCTGGAGAGACCCATTTCGATCAAAATCTTAGATACAAAAAATTCTTTGAAAGATGGAAGAACTGGGATCGGTCCGAATGAATCAAATATCAGTCAAATGTAAAAGAAGTCACAATTCTGAGTTCAAAGTGTTCTTCAGTTTGATCCTTCTGTTTATATCTCATCTGAAAATGCACAAAGGTCGAAGAAGGATCAGAATTCCATGCAGTAAACAAAGAACAGAAAATTTTGCAATGGAAATGGAAACATCCTTGTGTGGAGATCTGTTCATATACAAGAGCCAAGAACATAGAACAAAAGCACCAAAACCATCTTCCACAGCCAGTTTGATATCAGAAGTAAAGAAACAGAGAGAAACCCATTAATCAGCGCACACATACATACAGTATAGAATACGTTTTAGTTTCCATTTTTCAGCATCAAGATTTGGAGCAATAGATTTACCCAGAAACGATCCAAAGCGTTCGAAAAAGTGATCAAAACCCATCAGAAGAACACCAATGAAAACCCCGACGCTTCTCAGATCAAATTCAAAACCACCCAGAACCCATCCTTACAAATTCAGAAAGAAAATCCAAAAATCCCAAGAACCCAGAACAGAAAACGAAAGGAAGATCACAATCCGAATCCGAATCAAGAATTCAAGCCAAATAGTGCGCAAAGCAAGAAGAGAACATACCAAAAACTCTGAGGCACACCAGAGATTATGAACAGAAAGAGGTAAGAGATCAAGAAAGAATCGATGAGACGAGGTTCATATCTGTTTTTGTAAGGGTTGTTAATGACAAAGGGCTCATCTCCGGTTATGATGGAGACTAACCCAAGTTCTGTAACCATGGTTAGATTTCATAGCGAAAAACCCCCGAAAACCATGGTTACTTTATATCATGAGATGAAGCTCATTTTTTCCAATCCTTTCTGGGTTTGTATGGAGACAAGAAGTCCAGGCGTTGGTCAATCAAAGTTTCCAACTTTACAAGTCACAGACACTGCCGCAAGAGGAGGATTAGTAGCTCTTCAATCTGTGATGTTATCTCTTTACCTGTAATTCTGATATGCCCAATTATAAGTTTGCTACCCAACTCCTCCTCTACTTTTAATGTCAATTTTTGTAGGTTGGATGCTTTTTCTTCATAACTTTAAAACAGAAATTTGAAAACCGCAAGTTTTATGTTAAAGGCCTTTATTTTTAGAAAATCTATGAGGTGTCCATGGACGTCCATATATTGGTTATAAGATCTTTTTTGAATTTTTTATAAAAATAAAAAAAAATAAAAAAGTAAAGGGTGTTTTTTACACGGTGGGCCAATTGGAACGAAGTCAAAATCTTAAGCTTTGGACCGAGACTACAATACAGAACAAGGAAGCTTGACCGAGCAAAGAAGTCAAGGAATGAAATTATCTCTCTAATAATAACCACAACCGTTCATGTACGGTTCGGGAGCTCAACCCTAGCATAGAGACTTAGGTCAACGTTTATTTAATAGTTAGTAAATAACTTGGAAGTGAACAAGATAATGATGAATTGCAATTGGTCAAAATCTTCCATCATTATAGAATTTCAATTTTTTTTTTTTAATTTTTGAGTCGTAATTCAAAATATAATCCAAATATTATTTTTAGAAATATACCCATCAAATTGAAATTAAATTAATATTATATATTTTTTTTAAATGATTTAGCTCCTCTCATGAATAATAGATTTTCTAAGCTTTTGTATGTAGTTTGAGGGAGTGGAATTTTGTGATTGGGAATTTATTTATTTATTATTAATATTTTTTAATATAAATTTTAAATTATGTTTGATAAATAATTTACATTTTAATTAATTTAATACATTAATTAATTTTAAGATGAAGCAATCATTAATGAAGAATTCATTAGTCAAATAATTTTAAAGTTAATTTTAAATTATTAGAATTAATTAAATAGGAAATTGGATGCCACGAAATTTCTCAACAAAATTAATTATTAGAATTAGTTAAAGACGGGCCATAATCACGAAATTTCTCAACAAAAGACCGAGATTTGCACAATTTCGACGGAGAGTAGACGAACCGAATAGACACAAATATGAAAATTAAAAATTTTAAATTTCTTATTTATTAAAAAAAATAGCGTTAATTAGTGGAAGTGATGTCAAACATGATAATTGACAAAAAGAATATTAATTTATCCGTAAAACCTAAAAAAATTGAATTTAATTTTGTAAGAATATGAATTAAGGGAGATAAAAAAAATAAATAATCCAGTACGACACTCACACGGTGTTCTTATCCTGTGCTGGATTCTGGATGAATCATCTTGTCACGATGCCAACGTGTCAGCTTTTGGTACTGACTTGTCCTTTTAATACAAATTTCACTTACGACAATCCTATTGTGCCACTTGTCCACGTGTCATTTGTCGTATAGCTGGCCGACAGAGCATCCCCATTATTGCACAAGTGGCAACAATTTTGAATCGTTAAAAATATGGATTTCGATTTTTTAGATTAAATTATAAATTCATTTTCAATTTAAACTTTTAAAATGATAGGTTTATGAATTTACTAAATAAAAACAAAAATTCAAATTTTAATTTTATATTTAATATATCAATTAATTTCAAAAAATTATATTTTTCTAATATATATATGAGACATAAAATAAAAAATTCTAAAATAACACAAAATTTAAAGTTTTATATTAAATATATTAGATTAAATAGACAAAAAAAATTTAAAAAAATTGTAATTTAATTTCTTTTTATTTTTAAATGATTATTTGGGCTTTTAGTAAGATCACATCATTTTTCATAGACGTGTGACATTGAACAACCATACCGAGGACATACGAAGATTATATTCCCTGCTCCTAATTTTGCCTTGTCTCTCTCTCGGGAGAAGTTTTGTTTAGACCGGAAAAGGAGGGCAGAAAGATTTCTCACTGTCAGCTAAACAAGACTGAGAACAAAGATTATATTCTCTGTTCCTACCTTCGTCTTGTCCCCTCTCCCTCCCGAACATCTTCATCCCATGATCCCCACGTATTCTCCCAAAAAAAAATCTCACTCCGATCTCCACGATAATTAAGAATTTTATAGGACAAAGATTGAAATAGTCTCGGTCAATAGGATACAAATAGGATACAAAGAAGATAAATTTACAAGGTATGAATACAATTAACAAATCTCTCTCAAATGCATATGCAATCTATCACCTTACATTTACAAGTGGAAAAGAGAAAATCTTATGTTTAACCTTGGAACTCAACCGAACCGAACCATATTTCTACAGCTACTAACTCAACTCAACTCAACTCCACGTGTCGTAAAATATTCTGACTCTGTGCTATACAAACAAAATAATATTTCGGCCATCGCGGGCTTTTCACCCGACACCAAGCCAGGTTTCATCAGATCAACAACAAAAAAAAAAAAAAAAGTCAGGTAAGTATAGTTTCTGACCAACAAGTGATCGGTGAACAGATAGTTTCAGAGGAGCTGCCCTCAAAGCTTGACCCAAATCTTATGGTGACTGACTGTCTCTTATTGAAGCTCTGATCTATACACCCTTTTCGACTTCTCCCCGGAAAGTTTGGTCGTGGAACCTTCCGAACCGCTGTTCTGGACGTGATCTTTCGTCGAACCTTCCTGTGATATAATGAGACAGCTTATCATCATGCATCAAAATCATCCACTGGTTAGATAAATAAAGTATGTATCTTTCCAAGCAGACATCAGAGTGATTCATTCCTTTTTGTAAAGCATAGTTAAAAATTGTACTCAGCAGCTTCTAGTCTGGCTCAACGGGTCGTAATCATACGCCTCTCCGACCTTCACAAAGCGTCCCTTCACTCGCCTTCTCACATCGGCTCGAGCTTTGCGTGTTGCGTATCTTACTCGTTTCTCAAATCTATAACGTGTTTGAATTACAAGTGAGGGTTGATACTTATAATGATCTAGTCTGTTCAACAATCAGAAGGGCAACGAAACTTACTTGCGCGTCTTCTTTTTCTCCTTGTAACGTAGAACGGCATTGTTACGATCAGAAGACGGGATCGAACTTTCAGTGCCAGGAGCACACCAAGGAGGAGGCTCTCCCATTAGAAGCATGGAAGAAGCTCCACAGTCTTGATAATCACCAGCACTACTCTCACCCGTAACGCCAGAAAACGACACACCCGATGCTTGCCTTGAATTAAAACAGAGAATCGGTTCGGTTTTAGTACTCATAACCGAGTCAGCAGATGCACCATTGCTGCAGGCTGGCTGCATTGGTTTGACCACTCCAACAGGAGAGCCCTGTGGGAGGCCATTTCAGTTCCATTCAGTAAAACCAAATAAGCATTAAGGTCCAAAATAAATAAATTCAAACAAACACCTCTGCAGCAACTGCACTGTGGCAAACTGAATCTTCAAAGCCTTTGGCCTCGAAAAGGCTATCGATTCCACCGTTCTCGAAAAGATCTTCAGAATGATTAAGGCTCATACCAAATAGCTCCTCGTAATTTTCGAGATTCAAATCCATTTCATCCATGTCAAACTCCTTGTAGATGTCGTCGTCATCGTCGCCACAGAATCCGGGAAGTTTCGTTCCAGGACAGCAAAACTGCATGCCAAAAATGTGATGCTTCAAAAAATCTTTGACAAGAACCAATAAGCAGAAATTGGGAAATCTGCAGCAACATGCATATGGTTCCATATAATGACAGTCAACCAAAAAACATCTAATAATGAGTTTGCAATATAAAGTTCATGGCTCAAAATTTAGACTCGAAGTATTACTGATATCATTTACGATTTCTCGAGTATATCTATCGAAGAGAGTTGTGAGAAAAATCCCTCATTCCAACAAATTTGCTATGTCTCATTACATGTAACAGCTCAAGCCCACCCGTTAGCAGATTCCGAGCTTCCCCTCAAGGTTTTAACGCGTCCACTAGGGAGAGGTTTCCACACCCTTATAAGGAATGCTTCGTTCCCCTCTCCAACCGATGCGGATCGCACAATCCACTCCTCTTGGGGTCCCAGCATCCTCGTTGGCACATTGCCCAGTGTCTGGCTCTGATACCATTTGTAACAACCCAAGTCTACCGCCAGCAGATATTTTCCTCTTTTTGCTTTCCCTTCTGGGCTTCCCCTCAAGGTTTTAAAACGCGTCTGCTGCGCAGAATTTTCCACACCCTTATAAGGAATGCTTCTTTCTCCTCTCCAACCGATGTGGGATCTCACAATCCACCCCCCCTTGGGGACCCAGCGTCCTCGCTGGTACATCGCCCGATGTCTAGCTCTAATACTATTTACAACAGCCCAAGCCCAACGTTAGCAGATATTATCCTCCTTGAAGGTTTTAAAACGTGTCCGCTAAGGAGAGGTTTCCACACCCTTATAAGGGATGCTTCGCTCCCCTCTCCAACCGACGTGGGATCTCACGTTACATATGCCAAAAACTATATTTTCAGGTTCCAACAATAAACTTAGACAGAAAAATCAAGTATAAGAAATTCATCCTTCACCTTGGGTACAGCCATATTAGCCAATTCAACTGGCTGATCTGAAGTGTGAGGCCTAGAGCCAAAGTCAGAGAGTGAAGATGATCCAACCAAAACATTTGATTTGTCCCTGCTGCAAACATCTCTGGCTTCAGTCGACCCGAGC